TAGCATTGAATCTTTTAATTTTTTCCTTAATTTTCCTTAATTTTCTTGATTCTTTATTTAGTGAGACTGAGAGTTGGAAAGTGCAGGTGTATGGCTGGGTAGGTGTGCTGCGTTTGGGGACTTGTGGGTGAGAGTTCTTTTCTTTTAGGGTGGCTCTGAGCTTTGAGCCACCCTTTAGCCTCTACTAAAGCCTTTAGCTTCTTCTCTTATTTCTCTTCCCTCCTCTCTTTCAAAAAGTAGTACTTTTAAAAGATTACTGTTATTAAAAATTATAGGAATTCTAGCAAACAGCAATGCTCATTCTCAGAAAAACTACCTACGTACCTAAACTTACCACCAATATCTAATAATTTATATCCTTTGCAATCTCATCACAAGTTCTGTTTATATTTCTCTCTATGCTCTCGGCTTCCTTAATTTTATTAAATAATAATAATTTGCCTGTTGCTTCCTAATCATAATAATACAAGAATTCAGTTTCTGTGGAAGCTTTGCCAAGCCAACAGAACCCACCATCTCTAACTCCAACCGCCATCAGCACATCAGGACTTTTTAAAGGAGATTTTATTTCTAGGGAAAAAAGAAATTCTTAAAAATCAGGGGATGACCCAATTGTTATGAACCTTGGTGAGGCAGCAGTGGCAGATGTGTTCTCCAAGTGTGGCCATTTTCATCCTGATAGCCCTAAAAATTATGGGAAGGGGAGCCCATGAAGCCCCCCCCCCCCCCAATTGCTGCCAATGGGCTGGATCTAGCCACATTTTCTGGCTGCAGACTGAAAACATAATTTTAGGCGCCTGTCTGTTTTTGGGAGGTGCACAAAAATGGATACACAGGTCCCCCGAAATAGCAGAAATGGCTCGAGGTTCAGCTGAAATGCACAAGCATTGTGTGTGTGTGTGTGTGTATACATATGCACATGCCTATGTCTATGTCTATATGTGCATGTCTATATGTGTCTGTATAAAAGTGTATGTATATATGTGTATGTATACATGTGTATGTATATAGGCTATCTTGTAGTAGCATTGTCCAGCCGAGTGTTTGCTGGACTCAGAGAGTAGGAAAGGGCCCCCAGGGCCATCCAGCCCCACCCCATTCTGCCACAAAGGAAGATACAATCAAAGAAAGGGGTGAGACTAGATAGCCTTAGGGGTCCCTTCCCATGCTGGGCATCCATGATCTTCTGGCAGAGAAGCCAGCAAACAGAGTTGGGCAATGCTACCGCCAAGTGGATTGGGAATGAAGTTATGAGTCACACCCAAGGCACTGGCTCGATGGCCCATGACCCACTCCTCTGAAGAAAGCTTGCCAAGGAAACACTGTGAAGTAGTTGTTGTTATCAGACTGACTCGAGTCTAATGTGCTATCAAGCCTAATGCGTGCCTCAATTTCCTTGTCATCTACTTGCATCTTTCAGTGGTAATAGCACCTAAAGCTTTAGAGAGCTTCTGTTCAACCATTTCAAAGCTCCCTGTCTATTACAGGGTACACCAGCTGATTCCTAATCCATCTAAAATGCAGGCATGTGTTTTTCACGTTAAGAACAGACAAGCATCTTGAGCTCTGAGGATTACCTGGGAAGGAATCCCACTGCAGCACACCAAAAGACCTGGGAGTCACTCTGGACTGTACTCTGACTTACAAGAAGCACTGCTTGAATATCAAGCAAAAAGTGAGTCCTAGAAATAATATCATACAAAAGCTGACTGGCACAACCTGGGGATCACAACCAGACACAGTGAAGACATCTGCCCTTGCACTTTGCTACTCTGCTGGTGAGTACGCATGCTCAGTGTGGAATACATCTCACCACGCTAAAACAGTGGATGTGGCCCTTAATGAGACATGCTGCACTATCTCAGGATGTCTACACCCAACACCACTGGAGAAATTGTACTGTTTAGTCGGTATTACAGCACCTGATACCCGCCCGGAAGTAGCAGCCTGTAATGAAAGGACCAAGGCAACAACATCTCCGGCCCATCCTCTGTTCTGATATCCGCCAGCATGCCAATGACCAAAATCAAGAAACAGCTTCCTAAGTTCTACAGAGACGCTCACAGGAACACCTCAGCAAGCGAGAGTCCAAAAGTGGCAGGTTAAAACCCAGAACCTCAATCTGTGGATGATATCAGATGAGAAACTCCTTTCTGGGCACACAGAAGACTGGGCGACTTGGAAGGTGCTGAACAGACTGCGCTCTGGCACCACGAGATGCAGAGCTAACCTTAAGAAATGGGGCTACAAAGTGGAGTCCACAACATGCGAGTGTGGAGAAGAGCAAACCACAGACCCCTGACTACAATGCAACCTGGGCCCACCACATGCACAATGGAGGACCCCCTTACAGCAACACCAGAGGCATTCCAAGTGCCAGCTTCTGGTCAAAGGAAATGTAGTTAAATGCCAATTTTTTGACTTTGTCTGTGGTTTTTTTATACATTATAACTGTATTCACAATTCAATTCTGACACGATCAATCTATATAAATAAAAATGTAATGTTCGTTTGTGGGATTAACATAACTCAAAAACCACTGGACGAATTGACGCCAAATTTGGCCACAAGACACCTACTAATCCAAGGAGTGACAATCACTCAAAAAATGATTTTGTAATTTGGGAATTGTAGTTGCTGGGATTTATAGTTCACCTACAATCAAAGAGCATTCTGAACTCCACCAACGATGGATTTGAACCAAACTTGGCACACAGAACTCCCATGATCAACAGAGAATACTGGAAGGATTTGGTGGGCAGTGTCCTTTGGTTTTGGAGTTGTAGTGCACCTACATCCAGACAGCACTGTGGACTCAAACAATGATGGATCTCGACCAAACTCTACATGAATACTCAATATGCCCAAATGTGAACACTGGTGGAGTTTGGGGAAAATAGACCTTGACATTTGGGAGTTGTAGTTGCTGAGATTTATAGTTCATCTACAATTAAAGAGCATTCTGAACCCCACGAATGACAGAATTGGGCCAAACTTCCCACACAGAACCCCCATGACCAACAGAAAATACTTAAGGCCATCCAGTCCAATTCCTTCACCAGGGCAAGAAAAGGTAATCAAAGCCCTCCTGACAAAGAGCCATCCAGCCATAGATATAGATAGATAAGATATATATGATTCTCTCTCACACACAGATATAGTATCATAGATTTGAAAGGGACCTCTAAAAAAGGACAATATGCATGTTCCAGAGTAGGCGAACCAGACAATCTCCACATCAACACTGACAAAGAAACAGCAAGAAATACTGTTTACCCACAAGCATAAAGAAATTACATACATTAGAAACCAACACTTTCTCATTACGTTATTTTCCAGATCACCAGACTGGGCCACAGCAACGCGTGGCAGGGGACAGCTAGAAAATAAATAAATAAATCTGTCAGTGGTTCCCAACCTTTGGGCCTCCAACTCCCAGAAACCCTTGCCAGCTCGCCAATGGCCAGGAATCCTGGGAGCTGATATCCAATGCAATGGGAGGAGCCAGGCTTGGGGCCCTCAGTGCTGTAAATTCCCAAAGGCACTCAATACAAAGAGAGAAAAAGCAGGTCAACTACCACTCCCAGAATCCCCCGGGGCGTTGCCATGGCGCCGAAAGCCCCCCCCCCGCTGCCTGGGAAATGTCTCCTGCCCCTCCGCCATGTTTGTTTCCCATCCCCCCAAGGGGCGTGTCCTCCGCCCCCTCCCCCCCCGTTTCGTCGTCTCAGCTTCACTCACAACCCAACACACGCCGTTGAAGAGTTTAAAAATGCGTGCCGCCGAAATTTCACGTCCCTTTATTTTTGTTTGTTTGGAAACAAGGCAACTTTTTTCCCTCGCAATTTTGAGAGGGAAAGGCGCTCCCACACTGCCCTCTAGCGGGGGAAGGCGTCGAGAGACTGCATTTTGGGACGCGTGCGCAGTAGGCAGCCTCATAGAGTTCCGAGCAGGGTTCGGAGCGGCTACACTTCTGGTTTAGTTAGTCCACGCACGCTCACTCTCACGGGACCTTTCTTCAGCCTTGCATGTATTACTAACAATATTGTAGTCAATAAAGGTCAAGGTTTTCCCCTGACATGAAGTCCAGTCGTGTCCGACTCTGGGGTGTGGTGCTCATCGAAGAGCCGGCGTTGTCCATAGACACCTCCAAGGTCATGTGGACTGCACGGAGCACCGTTACCTTCCCGCCGGAGCAGTACCTATTGATCTACTCACAGTTGCATGTTTTCGAACGGCTAGGTTGGCAGAAGCTGGGGCCGGCAGGACTGAAGACCGGCAGGTTGCAGGTTCAAATCCGAGGAAAGGCGGATGAGTTCCCTCTATCAGCTCCTCATGCGGGGACGTGAGAGAAGTCTCCCACAAGGATGATAAAAACATCAAATCATCTGGGCGTCTCCTGGGCAACGTCCTTGCAGACAGCCAATTCTCTCACACCAGAAGCGACTTGCAGTTTCTCAAGTCGCTCCTGACACGACAAAAATTGTAATATTATAATATAATCAATATTATATGTATACACAATATATTGTTAGGATAGCACAATATTAGTATTATATATTACTATATTGTAATACTAATATATTATTATGTCATTTATTATTGCATATATTATTTATTAATATTACTTATATAGTATATATTATTGTATATAATTTAGTATATTATTGTATATTATATATTATTTATTATTGTATATTTTAAGTTGTAATGTTTTTTATTGTGAGCCGCCTTGAGTCTCCGTATGGAGAGATAGAGCAGGATAGAAATAAAATACAGATAAATAAATACATAAAAAGGCGAGGAGGTCCGGAAGTGTAACAAAGAACCAAAAGGACTGCGCCTCTTTGGGGTTCAGTGTCAAACAGCAGCCTTAGAGTGCCACCTGCTGGCGATGGATGCGAGCCAAGCGTTTTGGGTTTTTTTTTTTTACTTCAGCCCCCAGAATTCCTGGCCGCGGACCAAGCTGGCTGGGTCTTCTGGGATTTGAAGTCTCAGGAGGAAAAAAAGCCCAATCTGGCGCTACGAAAGCTGGGAACGCTGCCAATCAATGATGTGAAGTTTTCTACAGGGCAGAATGGGAGGCAAGTGCCTCAGGGGAAGGACTATAGGTGGCTGGGGCGGGCCGCCTGACGTCACTTCCGCCTAGGGAGCTTCAGCCAAGATGGCGGCTTGGAGCACTGGGTGGCTGCGGAGCTGGTGTTTCCTGGCCAGGTAGGAGGATCCTTCTCTGAAGTTTTGGATCAAAGACTCAGGGGCCTTTCTCGTTCCGGCTTTCCCCCATTGCCAATCCCTAGCAATTAGGGATATGCGATCCATTTAAAACATGGTTCAAAAGTCATTACAAAACTGGGGGGCGGCGCTGGCATTGTTGTGTCTGAAGTGTTTCTAAAGTATACTTAGTAAAAAAAATTGTTACCATAACGAGAGTATCGACATTCCGTTACAGTAATTGCGCATAATTACTCTAATTGGGGAAAACTTCAGGGGCATCTTTCTCCCTCATTTTAAAGCTATTTGAGTGAAACTTGCTACAATGGTAGAACACATTAACCACTGTTAGCCCACCCAATTTCAGAACGTTTTGCTTATCTACAGAATTTTTGAGAATTTTCAAAGTTAATCTAAAAAAAACTACAAGAGCTATCCCCTTGGATTTGATATCCAATGCACAACATTAGCCAGAAGAGATAAGGAACTATTTTTAAATAAGCAATGCATGGAAGTGGAAGAAGACAACAGAATAGGAAGGACAAGAGACCTCTTCCAGAAAATTAGAAACATTGGAGGTAAATTTCAGGCAAAAATTGGTATGATAAGAAACAAAGATGGCAGGGACCTAACAGAAGCTGAAGAGATCAAGAGAAGGTGGCGAGACTATACAGAAGATCTGTATAGGAAGGATAATAATATCGAGGATAGTTTTGACGGTGTGGTGAATGAATTAGAACCAGACATCCTGAGGAGTGAGGTTGAATGGGCCTTAAGAAGCATTGCTAACAACAAGGCAGCAGGAGACGACGGGATCCCAGCTGAACTGTTTAAAATCTTAAAAGATGATGCTGTCAAGGTGATGCATGCCATTTGCCAGCAAATATGGAAAACACAAGAATGGCCATCAGACTGGAAAAAATCAACTTATATCCCCATACCAAAAAAGGGAAATGCGAAAGACTGCTCAAACTTCCGTACAGTGGCCCTTATTTCTCATTCCAGTAAGGTAATGCTCAAGATCCTGCAAGGAAGACTCCAGCAATACATGGAGCGAGAGTTGCCAGATGTTCAAGCTGGGTTTAGAAAAGGCAGAGGAACGAGAGACCAGATTGCCAATATCCGCTGGATAATGGAGAAAAGCAGGGAGTTTCAGAAAAACATCTACTTCTGCTTCATTGACTATTCTAAAGCCTTTGACTGTGTGGATCATAATAAATTGTGGCAAGTTCTTAGTGGGATGGGCATCCCAAGCCTCCTTGTCTCTCTCCTGAGGAATCTGTACAAGGACCAAGTAGCAACAGTCAGAACTGACCACGGAACAACAGACTGGTTCAAGATTGGGAAAGGCGTACGGCAAGGCTGCATCCTCTCACCCAACCTTTTTAACTTGTATGCAGAACACATCATGCGATGTGCGGGGCTGGATGAATGCAAAGCTGGGGTGAAAATTGCTGGAAGAAACATTAACAACCTCAGATATGCCGATGACACCACTCTGATGGCCGAAAGCGAGGAGGAGCTGAGGAGCCTTCTAATCAAGGTGAAAGAAGAAAGCGCAAAAGCCGGGTTGCAGCTAAAAGTCAAAAAACCAAGATTATGGCAACAAGAATGATTGACAACTGGAAAATAGAGGGAGAAACGTGGAGGCCGTGACAGACTTTGTATTTCTAGGTGCAAAGATTACTGCAGATGCAGACTGTGGCCAGGAAATCAGAAGACGCTTACTTCTTGGGAGGAGATCAATGTCCAATCTCTATAAAATAGTAAAGAGTAGAGACATCAGACTGGCAACAAAGATCCGCCTAGTCAAAGCCATGGTATTCCCTGTAGTAACCTACGGATGTGAGAGCTGGACCTTAGGGAAGGCTGAGCGAAGGAAGATCGATGCTTTTGAGCTGTGGTGCTGGAGGAAAGTGCTGAGAGTGCCTTGGACTGCGAGAAGATCCAACCAGTCCATCCTCCAGGAAATAAAGCCCGACTGCTCACTGGAGGGAAAGATACTAGACACAAAGTTGAAGTACTTTGGCCACATCATGAGGAGACAGGAAAGCCTAGAGAAGACAATTATGCTGGGGAAAGTGGAAGGCAAAAGGAAGAGGGGCCGACCAAGGGCAAGATGGATGGATGGCATCCTTGAAGTGACTGGACTGACCTTGAGGGAGCTGGGGGTGGTAACGGCCGACAGGGAGCTCTGGCGTGGGCTGGTCCATGAGGTCACGAAGAGTCGGAGACGACTGAACGAATGAACAACAACAAGCACAACATAAGCAGGGCATCAGTCCTTGGAAGTTTTGGAAAGATTCACACATCAACTGATTTTGGGGGATTTTAAAAAGTTTAGACAAAGACTATTGACCCCCGCCCCTGAAAAAGCGACAATAGCAATCTCCATGAATGAATGTCTGTCTTTATGACACACAATTAACCACATAACGTCAACTTAGCACACATTTATACTATTACTTACTTTCGTCCTCTTTGCAAATTCAGTAATTTTATTTATTATTTTTAGACTGACTAAACTGTTGGCTAATGCAGCCCTTAATAGGCTTTCTGATGTTGAGTACTGCATTCTGGGAAATGTAGTTTAGGACATTTGTGGTTTGCTTTTAATTACAATCTATTGTGTTATATTGTTATTACTTTTCAATTGGCATGCTCTATATTAACCCCTGTATGTTGTAATTTTATGTTACTCTCTGTGTTTCTACTGATTTTGGTTAATTTTTGTGTATATTTTATGTATTTTATTTTGCACTGTGTTGCCTTGTAAGCCACCCCAAGTCCTTTTGGGGAGATGGGGTGGGATACAAATGCAGTTATTATTAATAAAATGTTTTATAGAAGTTATACAACACCAGTCCTATTGGCAAAAATAGACAAATCTCAATAAGATAAGTGCTGGAGATGTAAAAGGCAGAGAGGAACTTTCTTTCATATGTGGTGGTCATGGGAGAATGTTCAAGGTTTTTGGAGTCAAGTAATTAAGGAAACAAAATGTTGTGCAATAAGGTCAAAACAAATTCAGGCATGTGCCTGCTGGGCTTATTCAAGGAAGGATTCAATCGGGATGATAATGAAATAGCCCAATACAATTTTTGGCAGCAAAAATAATTGCTAGTAGGGGTGTGCAAATGTCCGTTTTTAATTCGTTTGAATGTGTGTTATGTGTACTGTGTGTATTTATCACATTTCTAAATTTTAATTTATTTTTTAAAGACCAAGGGGGCATCTACAGTGCTGAATTGATGTGGTTTGAGGCCACTTTGACTGCCCTGGATGGCATCCTGGGGGATGGGGAGGCCCAGCATTCTTAATCTTGTCAAACTACAGCTTCCAGTAGTCCCTTGCAGTCAAAGCAGTGTCAAACTGCATTCCCTGGCCAGTGTTGTTGGACTCAGAGTGTTTAGGGCAGGCCTGCATAACCCGTGGCCCTCCAGGTGCTTTGGACTTCAGCTCCCAGCATCCCTAGCCATGGGACAAGCTGGCTAGGGCTTCTGCAGGTTGGAGGCCCAAAGCCCTGAAGGGCCAGAAGAAGCTTCCAAAGGAGAGGGCTGCTCTTCCAGAATGAAGATAATCTTGAATAATAATAATAATAATAATAATAATAATAATAATAATAATAATATATTTAGAATCCGCCCTATCCCCCCTTGAAGGGACTGGAGTGAAGACTAAGAATGACTACGCCAGAAAAGGTTTAGACCAGGCATGGGCAGGCTCCCAATCCCCGTTTAAACAGCTTCACTGGCTTCCAATAAGTTTCCCGTTCCAATTCAAGGTGCAGGTGATCACCTACAAACCCTAAATGGTTTGGGACCTGCCTACCTTCACGATCGCATATTCCCTTATGAACAAGCATGTACCCTGAGATCATTCGGGGAAGCTCCGCTCTCGCTTCCACCACCGTTCTCAAGCGCGGTTGGTGGGGATGAGAGAGACGGCCTTCTCAGTGGTAGCCCCCTGGCTTTGGAACTCCCTCCATAGGGAGATAAGACAGGCTCCAACCTTGTCCTCTTTCCGGAGAGAATTCAAAACCTGGATGTTCCATTGTGCCTTTGATTAGGCAGTTTCACTAGAGCATTATTTGACCCACTCTAAATCCTGCACTTTATTCTGGCCCTCCTATTGGTTCCTTGTCATTTTGCTTAGGTTTGCCCTAGTCTCTGTACATTTGATCATTGTCTTTCCCAGAAAACAAGACCGGACTTGGACTGCTTTGGATGACGATTTTAATTCTGGCAATTTTAATCTGGCGAGTGGGTTCTTAATGTATATTTATAATTATATTTTCATTTTATGGATGTATTATGTGTTTTATATTATGTTTGGCATCGAATTGTTGCCTATTTGGGAGCCGTTCTGAGTCCCTCCATGGAGGTTGAGAAGGACAGTGTATAAATGTTTTAAATAAATAAATAAATGATCCTTGCACTTTCCATTGGCTCCTTTAAGGAATTATTGCACTCATTGAGCCTGATCCCAGCTATGACTTTTACCTCAGCCACATTGTTTTATGATATTGTTTATGATTGTGTTTTGTTTTATTATTTTATTTGTTTGGTTTTAATGTGTGAACTGGCCAGGGCTTGTTCACTTTGTAAGCCGTTCAAAGTCCCTGTAGGAAGATTGGTGGCGGGATATAAAAATACTTAGTTATTTACTTCAGCCATAAGAAATTGTGGGAGTCGAAGTCCAAAACACCTGGAGGGCCGAAGTTTACCCATGCCTGGTTTAGACCGGGGGGCGGGGGCGCTGAGAGGAAAATAGACAATTTCTAGTCGAAACAACAAAGGGAAAAATTAGGCGAAAGTGTAATAATAATAATAATAATAATAATAAATAATAAACTATTTATATACCACTTATCTCCCCTAGGGGACTCAGGCCACAAGTAAACATAAAACATACAGAATAGTCATTAAAATACAAACAACTTATAAACACAATCTCATGCATTGAAACAACAATTTCACATTATTCCATTGTGCAAATAAGTTACCAATGGCCCCACCTGCATGTGGGCTGGACAGTTTGAAGGGTGTGGTGAACCCTTGCCTTTAACAGTTAGGATATGGGCCTAGTGAAGCCCTGGCAGCCATTTTAGATTAGGGAAACAGGGAGATGTCATCTTAGGTTAGGTTTTCTCAGAGGGGGCGTGTCCTTGTTAAGGAAGAAAAGGGTAGATGGCCAGGATTGGTTAGAATAGGGGGGCGGAGCCTAATATTTAGATAAAGAAAAAAGGTACCTTTTTGAATTCTGAGGCTTGAGTTTTGGCAGTTGGGTTTTGACAGTTGGAGTTTGGGGATAGCAGTTAGGAATTGAAAAGGGAAAAAGAAGGAAGTTTCACTTATGATAAATCCTTAATAGTTGCTTCAAGGAAGAACTATTGGTGTAAACAGACCCTGGAGAATTGGGCTGTTTGTATTGGAGAATCTGCTTAGTGGAATAATAAGAGTTTCTCAGTTTAAAGGTTTTGACTAGAACCTGTAATTCAAGCACTGAACTACTTCTGAAACCATCACGCATTTGTACAGAGGAATTAAACCCGTTAAATAAACGTTTTGTTATAGTTAACTCTTTACCACAGCCTGTGTGTGTGTGAATGTCATTGATATTTAAACCCTCTGAGGAAAATAAACCCCGTAGTAACACAGAAGAGTGTTACTCAGTATCCTCTCAGCCTGAATATTAGAAAGGTGGCAGCATACCCCAATTGAAGAAACAGTTACAAAGCCTCTCAGTTCAGACTTCAGTCAGATATATTTATACACAGTTATATCCTGCCCTGATTTATCAGTCTCCCTCCTGTGAGTTCCTTATAAGTGTTGGTAGATTCACTAATTTTAAAATTCCCTGTTTCTCCTTCCCTTGGGTATAGGGCCTTTATAAAGGGCTCATGTAGTAATGGTCCGGGGAATTGAAGTGCAAGAAGTGGACCAAATTAATGGCCAGAATGGGGCCTGGGGCTACTTATTTCCAGGGCCTCTGGGCAGTTTTGAGGAAAGGTCTGGGCCAGGGCCAATACCATGAAATGGAGGAGGAGCTGGGAACAGGTAAGGCTCTGGCTTGGGCCCTAATTGATGGGTGGAGGTCTTGGCCTAAGGCTGATTGTTCAAAGGACCAAACTTGATAATCTGCAAGCCAGAAAGAAGGAGAATGGTTGACAATTGCTGTTGTCAATAGGTGATAAGGAAGCACCAGAAGAGAACAGGGAAAGAGAAGTGTGAATGAAAGTTTGCATGCACATGCTTAAAGCCTTTTGGCTATAACATACCCTGGGCTGTGTTCTCAGAGAGTGGCACTTTTACCTTGTCTACCCGATGGAGAGATTTGATCAAATACATCTGTTGTGCCCATTCTCCTCAGCTCAGAGTGTATTGGATAGAGACCCCAAGTGGTATGGGGGTTGCCTTTTCAAAGGGGACACAGCAGTCGGTCTTAACTGTCTCCTCCATGGTCTTTTCTAGGCAGAGCCGTCCCCTCCTGGCACCTTTGAGAAACCGCTGTGCCTCCGGACTGAGGGGACCTTGGAGCAAAGCGGCCGCTTTGAGTCTTGGAGCCACGCTCGCAGCTATCCCCATCACACAGGTAGCCTGTCTTCCGGGAAAGACAGGGCCGCTGCTTTCACCTTCTGATTTGTTGCTTCTCTCCTGTCATGTTATTTCTGAAGGATTATGATACGCTGCTAAGACTTTTCCCCTTGACTAGAAGGGAGGAGTGTTGGCACCTTGGAAGGTTAGACAGGCCACGTGACAAAGGGACAGGGATTTGGTTCCTTCCATTGGTGGTGGCAGTAGTACTAGTAGTAATACTACTAATAATAATTCCCTATGTAAGATGCATTCCCTCCTCATATAAACATCTCTAAAAACATGGTCTTAGAATCACAGGTGCTCACACACACTCACACACACATATATATACACTGTATTTCATCACATAATAATAATTATATCCTATATATTCCATTCTAAGATGCAATCCCTCCCCATAGAAACATCTCTAAAAGCAAGATGTGTCTTAGAATCACAGGTGTGCGCTCTCTCTCTCTCTCTCTCTATATATATACACACATACACACATACTGTTTTCATCGCATAATTAATAATTATTATATCCTATGTCTTCCATTCTAAAATTCACTCACTCCCCTTATAAACATCTCTAAAAACAAGGTGTGCCTTAGAATCACATGTGCTTTCATTGCATAATCAGTAATAATAATAATAATAATAATAATAATGCCCTACATATTACATTCTAAGATGCACTCCCTCCCCATCTAAATATCTCTTTTTATTATTATTATTATTATTATTATTATTATTATTATTCGACACAAAAATAGTACCATTACATACGATCATTGTTAGAAATTCAGTTGCTAAATTACATTGTGAATACATATCACATATTGTTTTTCTAATGCTCTTATCTGTCTCCCCTTCACCTTACCCTTCTGTCTGACAGTGTTACACCCCTCCTCCCCCACCCGCCCCCCTCAGGGAACAGTATTTACCTTAATTCAGATCTTAATTTAATTGAACAATTGTAAAAAGAGAATGGTCTTTCTTTGTTTTCCTTCCACTTTTTCGATCAGTCTTTCCCATTTCTGCACCCAAGTTTTCTTAAATCGGCATGTTGTGTATTTGCTTCTTTTTTCATGGATATAATCCTGAAGCATATATTCTGCTAAATACCCATACCATTTTTTAACCTCCCATTTTCTATAATCTTTCCACCCCAACGCCACAGTTGCTTGGGCAGCTAATATATGTTTTATAATTTCCTCCCAGGCTTTGATATTATCTTTTTTATCAAATTTCTGTGTAAAAAATTCTATTTTATTCAAAGCCAGTTTATATCCTATTATTTCTTCCATTTCGTTCATTACCTTGTTATAGAACTCTTGTACTCTATCACATTCCCACCACATGTGGGAATAGGAGCCAATTTTCCCACATCTATGCCAACAAAGTTTTGTGGTAGTTTTTGTTATCTGGGCTATTTTAATTGGGGTTCTATACCATTTAGTCAATAATTTCCTTTGTGTTTCTCTAATCTTTATATGCTTAATCTTTTTAATTGAATCAATCCAGTTTTCTATTTCTGAAACTTTATTATTTAAATCATCTTTCCATATTTCTATCAAAACTTGTTTTAATTTATATTGTATTCCAATTAATTTCTTGTAAATAAACCCCATCAGCCCTTTCTCCTTTTCTAGTTTCCATTTTAGAATTTGATCTAGGGCTGTTTCAGGGCCTTCTTTTTCCTTCGCTTTAATGATCCTTTGTTTCAGTCCATTCCAAAGGAGCCAATTACCTTGACCACATTTACCCTTTATTGACTCCCAATCCTTGATTGTCCCATCTGAGTTCAAGAGGTCTTTTATCAAAATCATTCCATTCTGTTTCAAATTTGATATGACTTTACCCAATGTCTGTTCTTTTTTATTGTCAAGAAACCCTATTGGGAGTATATCTACCCTATTAATTTGTAGTTTGTTTTGCCATTTTTCCAGCATTCCAGGGATGAGATCAATGGTCCCCCTTTACTTTCTGTTAAGGTTTTTTTTGTCAACCCGTCCTTTTAAACATAAGCAGTGGTTCCATCCATTAATTGCTTTTTCAGTTCTACCCCATCTTCTCGAATCGTCAAAATCTAATTCTATCAGTCTTGTTAATTGGCAGGCATCAAAATAATTCTGTAAATTAGGGGCACCCCATCCACCATTCTCTTCTGGGGAATAAAATACTGATTTGGGAATTCGATTTTTATTTGTTCCTTCTATCCAGGTTTTAATTGAAGAATCCCATTTTTTAATAATTTTGCTGGTGATACTAAATAGGAGTGCTTGAAACAGGAATAAAAATTTTGGGAGAATCATCATTTTAACCATTTTAATTTTACTTGATATATCCCAATTTTGTTTTTTCCAACTACTCATCTGTTTGTTTATTTTTTCCCATAAATTATTATAATTAGATTGAGTTATAATGTTTAATGTTTAAGTTTTTGGGAATATATACGCCTAGATATTTTATCTTCTTCTCCCCTAGCTTTATCCCTGTAGTACTCTGAATTTCTTTTAACTCTTTAGGAGTCAAATTTTTGTTTGGTCTTTCCGATTTTTGTATATTAATGGCCAACCCTGATAAATTCTCAAATTTCTTTATAGTATTTATAACTACTTTGTTGCGGTTTGTTAGTTTATATTGAATCTACACAGCAGTCCTCCCAGCTCCAGATCCCAAGTTGATTTGCACAGAGTATAAAGGAAAATGTCTTTACTCTGGAGTAGTTAATACATGTAGCTTTATAAAGAAAAATACAGTAGCCTTGAAAAC